CAGAAAATATATTATTGTCTACATATACAGGGAAGAAATCTAATCCAGAGTTCCTCAAACTATGGTACATGTACGACTAATGGTACATTACATATTTTATGGTACAAATTTTACACAAAAGATTAAAATGAATGCAAAATGTTGCCTCTTTCGGTGTACATAATGGCGCACATGTTTTTTATCCTTATTCGTGTGGTACAATACTTAAGAAATTTCAGAGTCCCCGACATCGTCAATATAAATTGTGATTTTCCTTTAAAACATTTTAAAATAAATGACCAGGATACGTTTTAGTATTTACATATAAATTTATAAATAGTTTTGATAATCTAATAATCATTCTAGTCGTGCAAAATCTAATTAACGGCATGAGATACAAGAAAATTAAATGGTTTTGGGACCTAAAAATTACGGTCTTAAAGATCTATTTTCGATTGAATCAATTTCAAAAACACAGTGCAAGAGATTACACACTTTCACAGATAAGGACAGTATGACGCTATTAAAAAGTCCTCTTGTCAGTCCACCGAACGTCTTTCTTTTAATACTTATTTAAGTTCTACATTCTACGCGAACATGCAGTATGGAATAAATAGACAGAAGAACGGAGATGGCGATAGGATATCTTTATCAGGAACACTTTTACGAACTGTAAAGGGTTTATCAGATAGCCTCTATTTTCCTACGACTGCGGTCACATGTCGTTTATTCTCTAGCATGTAGTGGGCAAATAAAAACAACTTTCTCATATCTTATAAATCTTAGCATTTCGGTTCCAAACGGCTTGCACTGCGTGAAGGCTTTTATTACGGACATTCAAGATATACTATTTTTTAAATTGGATAAATTTTGTGATTTTAAGTGCTTAAATTTCGGGGATAAAAGCAGATTCAAAATATTAACGAATAAATACCAGTTGGAGTTAATACATAATGCATATTCGGAGGCATATTCAATGATCGTTTCATGCAGCTATTTGGAACAAGTAAAATTAAAACAGAGACTATGCCAACAACAGGTTACTCATAAAAAATAATATGATTTTAAAAAAATCTGAAATGTTTCAGATTTTAAATTACGTCCAAAGGGGCGTTTTTTTTAACGTTTTTGTGTGTTACCTTTATTTATTAAATATCATGTTTTCGCACTAACCAGAGAATTCAATTCAACACCAATATCGCAAAATAATTTTAAAATGAGCACGTCTTTAGAATTTCCGATACACAGTCTCGCGCGCTGGAGATGAAAAGGTTCCCCCCCCCGTACAGTGTTGGCATTCTCGCTTTCAAATCCCTGAGTTTGTTAATAAAAAATTCGTTGAAGTTTTACAAAACATGAAATCGATCATAAAACAAATTCCAAATTTAAAATTTGGTCTTCCACAATGCCCATGTTCATTGGAGGATTACGTCACTCAAAATTCGATGGCTCTATGTACCGCTGTTTTATCACAGCGTACATAGTCAGTATATATCAGTACAGATTTATGCAGATTTTTCGTTATTTAATTTTTTCAAATATAATGCAGGACTCTAACATTTGGTGGCTACAGTTTGAAAAGTGAAACGGACATTTATAGTGATACAACGCAAAATCCCAAAACGAAAACAATAGTCCTTCAGGGACAAAGCCCCTTTGGACTAATAATCAGACATTTTATTTTTTACACACAAAGTTTATAATGACGCTGCAATTAAATTTCTCATAATAATTTTAACTCTTATCTGTTAACCGTTTACAAAAATAAACTTTAATTATTTGGGTATAATTTAATGTTTAATATTATAATTTATAATATTATATATAATAATATTTATTATTATATAATAATTTATATAATTTAATATTAAAATTTTCGGGTGTATAATTCGAATATAATATCACTTTAATTATTCGGGTGATACAATAATACTTTAATTATTCGGGTACATGTAAATTACTTTAATATAAAAATAAAAGTTTTAGGTTTATGAAAATAGCTCCAAGAGACTTAACGGATACAAAACGAATAGCGTATTTCCGTAATTTTTTTTAATAACTGTGTACTGTTAATGTCATTTTCTTTAGTAAATATTTTTCCTGTTTATGATGTGTACATAATATAATGATTATACCAGTATATGTTAATATTACGGTTACTATTAATAAGTATAACGCAGTTACAATATTTGGATATTTAATAATAAACAGTACGGGTTAGCAATGTCGCTTGTTATTTAACGAGTAATTTTGATAATAATCTTGAAATAAAATCATCACAAAAAAGGTTGTTACAATTCAGTGTAAAAAGGGAAAATATAATTAAAATCGGAAAATATTTGAAAACGATATTAAAATTTTGTTACGAAATTCCACCTTCTCCATATACTTTTGTTTATATTTTATTAAAAAAAATTCCCTTTGTTCCTAATTTTGCACAAGTATATTAAAGAAATAAATTTGTTTTAACGCATTTTGAAATTTGAAACTGTTATACTATAGATTCATGTAAATAAATTTGACGAAATAATGGGGGTATAATGACAATTACCCTTTCTACTATTTGATATTAAAATTAAATTTAAAATACCTAAAACATTATTATTGGAATATTTGTCATTAATAATTATTACTGAAATAAATATTATTATTGGAAAGATATCAAAAATCCGTCTTTAATTGCCAGTCAATTAAAAATGCAATAAAATAATATGTCAATCTTTATACTTTAATTTACGACTATAAGCTTTGGTTATGCCTCCACAAAATTTGAAAATTGATTACTCTATATCTTCCTCTTAATGAAATTTTCAGATTGATCTCGTGCATTTATTTTGATTTTATAAAACTTGCATATGTATTTATTTTAAATTAGTAATGCATTTAAGCATTTATTTTAAATTAATAAAATTTATATATCGATCACTTGCGAAGTCTTTCTAATGAAATCAAATTTTAATTTGTTACTAAAATTAAATTTTTGCAGGGGCAGGGGGAGGTGGTGTTATAAGGTATTTCTCCCACTTCCCTAGCGTGCCTTCGTGGTGTAACGGTATCACGCTGGGCCGGTATTCCAGAGGTCCGTGATTCGATTCCCGGCGAAGGCGGTTGCGTATTTTTCAACTTTTCTGCTTCCGATTAAACTAATGACTCTACAGTGTCGGGGTTTCTCAAAATATTGTCTTCTTATAAAAAAAAATTTCAAAATTCTGTAATATGACCATTTTGTAATCGGAAAATGATAGGTAAAATTTCATTCTGTTTGGAAAGTCTTTTTAATTTTCGTTTACTTCTTATAAACGAAATCCTGCTGATAAAATTTAGATATTTTTCTTTCAAATTATTTACAGTTCCTCCCATTTAATTTCTTTCTCTTTAAAGTAACGGCGAAAAATCAATAGTCTGAGATAATTAACGAAAGATAAACAAAATTAGAAGCAAAATATTTTAATGAATTATCAACAAACTAAAAACACAGAAAAATAATAGAATAACATAACGGAAAAAACTCTCAACTTTTTCTGCTAATAAATGAAGAATAAACAGAATTGTCAAAGTTTTTTACGGATGTAAGAGAGTTTGTTATATCTACAATAATTTAGCCCTTTTTATTCTCGTCCTAAATAAATGTATGAACAAATAAAGATAATAATTCAATGCTCATATGGGATTTGGATTACTGAACACATACGACAAATTATGAAGTAATGTGACAAAATTGATGAATATTATAGTTTGTATTATTTAATGATTACTTACAAATCATTTTTAAAATTCATAGCTTATTTAAATCATTTGAATTTATGCCTACTGTGATAATATGTAATTTTCTTAAAATAAATTATGAATGAATAGTATTAATATGCATAACAAAGATGCTTTAAATATCTATTAACCCCTTTCTCAAAACGGGGCATTCTTTTATGTCTGTAGGTTTAGAGAAAGTTAAAGATGGCATCCACTGAAATCTGAGAAATTACTAGATCGCCTAAGATGGCATCCATTAGAGTACAAGGAAAATATGAAACGGATTTAAAAAAAAAAAAGAAAGAAAGAAAGGGGGAAAGAGAAAAGAAAACTGTTAGAAAAATGAGAGAGAGAGAAGGAAAAAAATAAAAATGTGTTTTATAAAGAAATGTAAAAGAAGATATTACTAAAAATAATATACAATTAGAAAAAAAATCAGATAAACTCTTCCAATTTCACTTATAAAAACGAAAAAATATAAAAGAAACCCAACGTGATTGACCCAACGTCTTTGAGTGAAATTTCTAAAAGTTTGTGTAAAGTTAAAGGAAGATTCAGAAAAGAAAAATATTTTTCTAACTTTTTGTGAAAATGTTAAAAAAAGAGATATACGTATTGTAGACGAAACATGACAACCATTCAAGTACTTCGAACATCCAACAAACTTTACAACAATTGAAAATAGAAAAGAAATTTACAAACTGCCTTCAGCAAACGATGAGCCGCCGCCGGAAGTAACGCTTTCGGGGACGCCGAATACACCGCACTCTTTGCCGGTGCTCCATTGCTCCAAAAACCGGTGACATATGAGCATTCAAAAAAGCCCCCCAGCTAATCTTTGAAAAACCCATTTAATTTTAGAAAACGTTTGAACGTTAGCAACAAAGTATCAAGAAATTCTTTCATGAAGTTGACAAGTCATGTGTTATTTTACACAAATTGAAAATATTAGTTTTAATTTTATACGTGTGAGGATGCACAGCAAACATTGTGAACACCTTAGGGAAGTGAAGATATCATCCATATTTCGCACGATATAGAACAAATCATATGCATGACTATGACGTCACGACTGCTATGGTGTAACACTAATTATAAATGCATCGTTGGGGAGCAGACGATTAAAACGCCGGCTACTCGTGGTATCCACGGGAGAAACCGACCGTTACTTTTGTCACATCCCAAAAACGTTCGATATGTCTGGCAGACGACGTTTCGCGCCATGTCACTTGAATGACAAGACATAAAGCTTAACATTTTTAATAAGAACTCACCTTTTTTTTACTGGAACAGTGTGGAATTAGCGGTAGGCGGCATAACGAACAATTCTCCCTATCACCCAACACTTTAGGCAGCGAGAAGGCTTGCGCGTGCTGCTAAACCGGCGTGTAAATAAAAATATATTCTTCCGCCACTTTTAATTTATTTGCCCATTTATACAACCATTCTGGGGAATTTTTACGTCTCCGGATTCTTTTCAAGCAACTTTTTTGGGAGTTTTTGCAAAATTTTGACTCTTATCGGTGAATTTTCATCCGTGGACTACTTTCCCGTCGCGGAGGCTGGCGGTGTTATTCGTGGCTGCGATTCGCCCAGCATCTGTGACGTCACGCGCACCTGCTGGGTAAACAGAGAATGAGAGACAAATTTAGATCCCTTGCCTAGGATGATACAAGGTCACACGTCCATGGCTCTCAGACTGTTTCTAACTCTTTTTTTCGCGTTCTTTTTTTATTATTTTCTCCTATTCTTTTCTTTTCCTTTTATTCCTGTCTCTCTTACCGAAAAGATAAAACTTTTAACAGATCGCTCTGCGACTTTGTTTTGTTTTCTGGCGGTAGCCATTTTAAAAAAGGGAAAAGATACGTCCGGCGTTTGCTTCTCAGCTCTGAAATCTGTATTTTGCTGGTAGTCTGTTTTGTTTCTTTCTAAGACTCTCCCCTTTTCCTTTCTCTCGCGCGCGCTCGCTCTCGCCGTTGAGAAACCGTTTCAACGATCTTCATTATGTGCTTTCTTTCTTCAAACCTTATTTCACGTGAAAGTTTGTTTACTTATTTTTTAATGTTGTTAGACTAAAATAACACTTCCATACATAAGTAGAATTTTTTTTATTAATCCCTAGTACATGGAATGCCATGCAAATAAGATTCCCGCATATCATCATTTGTTTTATGTACTCGAGAAGGAAACGACTGAAAGTATTAAATTTGTTACAATTTGTTTTTAATACAAAAAAGAAAAAAAAAATAATGATTCTTACAGATTTTTATAAATCATCAAATAACTGAAATTAAAAAAATAATATAACTTAATAATGAAAATAGTTTTAAACATTAAAAGCATTTTCTTGTGTTTCAATTATATTTTCTCTGTAGTATTTATATTTTCGAATTATTTTGTAAATGTGAGCATTGAAAAATATACATCTAATTCTGCAAAAAAAAAAAAAAAAAAAAAATCTTTTTTCTGTAGTGCATGTAATAGTTTCTTCTTAAAACTAAATGATCATATAGTAGTTAGTATCAGTTAACTATCAGCTGTGTTCGCGCGTTTTCGTTCATCACTGCAGAACATTTCATTCACTGTGTCTGTTTGGTTTTCTTATTTCACATGAAATGTACATTCAAGTTAAATAAAATTCGTTTAGTTACTATGCTTAGAACTTGGCCAAGCCAGAAATTAAACTTGACTAAATCTGGTCTGTATCCGTTCCACAATTGTCCTCTTGGCACTTTCTTGGTAAAGTGGCTACCCCAATAAATGTTTGAAAACGTTTGAAATTTGCACGTTATATAGCGACGCATAATGTATCTACCAGCTGGCAACATAAAGACGGTAGTGCTTGTAGTAACGTCGTGGGTGATTGGCTATGGTGAAAATTAGCTGCCTATTCAAGGGCTAGAACCTTCGTTTATATGAAGGTCCATTCGAGCACGGCAGTTATTCACGCCAGTATTATCAAATTCAACTCGGTTTCTGTAATTGCTACATATTCATTTAAATACCAATCGACAGTATGATACTCCATATCCTGTTCTGGCGGCCTTTCGTTGTCCTGGTCAGGAACCAATCCTCTGTAGCATACACATAGGCGTAATACGAAAAATACAAACATTAGTGAACCTTTAAAATAATGTTCTCTAAATATCGTCCTTCTACTCAAAGCTGATTTAGCAATTAAGCAAAATAAGTACGTGCTTAGAGCATCAGAGAAATAAGCCAGCACAAGAAGGTGTTTAGGGATTCGAAGAAAGGGGGAGCTACAAAAATTTCCAATTGCCAGTTTTACCATGAAATGCAAAGTTCAGCTGAACTGAAACTAAGCAATAAAGAAGGGGGAAAACAGGTGTAAATGTATGTGCGGGTCCCCTAAATGTTTTCAGTGTTTAGGACCTCTAAAAGTCTTATTCTGGCCCTTCTTCTACTCGTATACACAATTTGAGGCGATATGGGAAGGTTTCCATGGCCCGTCTGAACATAACCTGTGCAACAGTGTGCCTCTGCAGCCATGTTTGCGCTTGCCACTGCGCCATTTTGTCTCTATCCTTCAGTTATCTTGTTCACAGTTTTTTCGAGTTTTAATGTTCCTTTACAATACCCACTGAACATGGGTGAAAAGTCTGTTTTGATGAAAGCTTCCATTGCTTCAACCCGCAACTGCACCGACCAACGGTCTTTGATATGCTAATTGCTTCATTTCTACGGATGTAGGTATGCCACACACGCGAAATGTTCATTCTAGTAGGATTGCCAACTCAGATTAGTACATACAGTATGTGTCACTCGACCAGACTAGGCGATTACGTTTGCTGGTTTTGGTGACTACGCGCGACGGTTCTTTAACAAGGAAACAACGTCACTCTTTGCTTTAAGCACTTCAGTTCTCGCACCATGATTGAAACACTTCCTGGAAAAATATCTAACGCAATCTATGAATGAGCTTGAGGGTCCTCTGTAGTTATCACATCTTCATGGTCTTCATTATTATTTCCAAGTTAGTCATGAATTTTGTCTTTTTCTCTGGACTTTGCACTTTTGGCTCATTTTTCTATTTTTACTTTTTGATACCCCAAAACAGTATATATATACATTGTTCCGTGCGTTCAGGTTCATAATAAATTGATTGCACACAGAACTCATTGTAACTTGATAAAATTTATTTAAAAAAAAGAAACACTTTACAGTTCTGGACCTTTCAAGCAAAAATACTCGTACAGCTCTTCTCAGTATCAGAGAGCACAATCAATCGTTACACTTCAGAATACTAAGAACGTTAAACACAACGAAGTGTAAATCACATCTAAACATCAAAGCTAAAATGGAGATATTTCAATACCCCGAATTTACGCTAAACAAACACCAAAAGAATAAATAAATTAAAAAAAAAAAAAAAAACAGAGAAACTGATGCTCTCGCCAATCTTATATAGTTTTCTTTCGGCTGCCGATAAATCTCTTGTACCTTCCACTTCTCGAAATAACTGGAAGGCACATGAGGGCTGGATATGGTTGCAGCTACATACAGGATCAATTATAGACATTCACTTACAGTAACCCAAATATTCCCAAATGGTCGCCAAGTTTGGCGATATTGCAATAACTCGCCAAATTTGACGACAAAAAATTTTTGCCAAATCCATTGCCAGCTTGGCTATATCTCGCCAATTTAGCTAGCTATTTATTCGATGGTAAATGTTACCTGCCCCTGTGTTCTCATTTTTCTGGCAGAGCCTCGCTTCTTTAGATTTTCATGTTACATTATGAAAAAAAAAAAAAAAAAAAAACCCTACAATTTCACATATAAATTCATTAAAATGATTTACGTATGCATAAAATTAGTAGCAATATATATTAACAATTGACTTCAGAAATAGAAATTGACTTTCCAGAATAGAATTCTGAAAAGACGACAGATTTCAATTTTAGTCAAGAATTATAAAGCACATTATCTGCGTATTCGTTGACGAAATAAACTTACTTAGGCATTTCCACAGAAATTTTATCCTACTTCAGTTTGTTACTATGGATATGCAAAAATTAATTTCTGAGTGTCCAATTTACTTTCATCTTAATAATATCGTTCGTTAATACGCATTGACTGCCATTATAGGAGCTTCTCTGCAAAGCTTACCAAAAGGTTTGTGCTTAAGAATAGCAACTTAAACCACCTTTTCTAATCGATATACTCCGATGGACTATATTATAGCAGACACTTAAGTAGAATATCTTTTTACCTTTTTACCATAGTGTATAAAAGTAAATACACATTATTTTATATTTCAAATTCCAATATATTTTGAAAAAATATATTTAATTCTCTTGAATGAGAAAGCCTAGAACAAGTAATATATGTTATTCTCCCTATAACTATGTCAGTAAATAGCTAAATAAAATGTAATAAATAGCTAAAATGTAACTATTAGCTAACCAGTGTTTAAAACCATTCACTGGAAGGAAACAAAACTCACTAGATTATTTTATATTACAATAAATATAGTATATATTCACTAACTAATAGTAACTGTTTAATATACGTTGAAGAATTAACTTTAAATATTCAGAAAACAGATGTTGAATAACTCAGAGAATTAGAAAAGAAATGACTTAGGGTATGCATATGTTATAGGACGTAACGCAACTTAGGATATGGGTTGTGACTCAAGATATGCGTATGTTCGTATTTTAATTTCAGGCATTTTTGTTATTTTTTTTAATCCTTATCATTATAAACTGTTGGACATTGCTAAACCACGAAGGAAAGCAGTTATCAGAATCATATTTATTTTACAAGTACATTATAATGAAAAGACAAAATTATTAAAGTTTCAGGTGATGGTTAAGTACAGAACATGCAGAAATCAGTTCTATGAGCATTCTCCTCTGTCATCAGTAGCAACTATAAGCATAGAATTGATCATATGTTTCATGTTTGGACGAATGCTGCTATACTACTAGTTTGCTCGCTTTGGGCGAATGCTGCTATACTACTAGTTTGCTCACCACCATTAGTCAGACTTTCTACTTGGTGAGAGATTTGGTGAACGCGCCAGTCAAAAGAAAATGTCTTGAAGTATTGGTTAAAGATAGAACAGCGTATATAACGTGCAGTCTCTCACCATCCTATTCACTAGATTATTTTATATTACCAGAATAATAGTTCAGTTTATTTTCATGGACCAGTGTTCAGTTTATTTTCATGGACGACAACACTCATACACGTGGGGCTAATCTGATACAATAATTTTATGAAAAAAGAGGATATTAAAGAGATATTACAGGGCAAGCCAGATTTCCAGATCAATGCGCCACAGAGTATGATTCGGAGGCTCTTAGGAAAACAAATGCAATTTGGTTTTCCTCTTCCAGAACCTTAAAATAGTAAAAGTGGAATCGACTGTAATCGGGACTCACAATTGCCTAATTTGAATATGAAGTCACGCTCTGAGAGTTGTATGACTATTCACAGGGGAACATATACCACCTGTTAGCCTCCTTTTCCCTTTGATCTTGCGACCTTCGTTTGAAAC